AAAATTCGATTACAAATAATACAAAAATAAACTTTTATATATTTTTTGTAAGTTGGCATGAGAACTTGAACATCTTTTAACTACTGTCAATTCAGCATCAAGCCTTCTTAGAATTACAAGTCTCAAAATATGCATGTATTTTATTAAAATTATTACTATGATAAACAAGACTTTTAATTTACATTTGGCATGCAACGAACGTGTGTCTCATGTGCTCATCGGCTTAGCCTGGTCGCGAGGCACTTGGCCCACTTACCCACTTGTTCCGACGTGATCCACCTAATCTGCTCTCCAACATCTGTTTATAATTTCAGCCGAGAACGAACCTCTGGGCCTATTTGGGATTGCACTTGACTAAACTTCCGCCCGGCGGCGAATGAACGAATGAGCGAGTGAGCGAATGAGCACATTCGCACTGTCACCCACTCACATGGCGAAAAGCTTTAACCAGCTAACCACTTGACTCAAGTGTTTGCTCACTTTGCGGGCTGTCTCCTGCCCGGGAACCTTCTCCCACTTTTACCCACTTTCACCCACTTTCTCCCTGCCGTTACCGCTTCGGTTTTGCGGTTGCTGCTCTTTTTTTCGCATATGTTTTGACACGCCTTTTTTTGTGTGCCCAGATGTTTTTGTTCTCCAACGATTTTCCTCGTTTTTCTTTGTTTTCCTTTTTTTGCTGCTGCTGCTACCTCCCCCTGGCTCCCCTGGCATTTCCATTGTCTGTCGGACTTCACTCAGTTTATTTGTACTCATGCATCATAAGGGTTTAATGGATTTGCTGTTGGCCTAGGCAGGGGTGTCTTTCCCCTCTGTTTTGCATCATTTACCCACTTTTCACACGACCCCTAAAAGCAAAGGAGCGTGTGGGCCTACGCAATGATTATCATATTACGGCCATTGTGTCTGGAACTTCTTCTTCGGTGGGAAACCACACCTCCACCTCACTTACCACTTGGCTTTATGACTTTATTTTCGCCTCCCCTTCTTCGCGACGGCAGTTAATACATTTTTATAGACTTGCCAAACTACTTAGCCATCCCACTTTCGGCTTATTTTCCCTCTTCGGGGCTGTCTCTCTATTAGCTTTTCGCGTGCTTTGTCATTGCCGTTAATAGACTTACTTTTCCTCTTGTCCCAGTTTTCGTGCCAAAGTGGCGACAGACCATTAAAGCCATCTGCCCACCTGACCAGCAACTGAGGCCAGCCAACTGAAGGCTGGCGGGCCATAAAAATTTGGTCAACGCTGCGTATGCGTAATGCGCGAATACTGCGTATACTTAATTTACGTGCGAATAGTTGAAGGTCTATATAATATTTAATGGGTTTGTTTTGGGTCAATATTTAAGGCTTTAAAATGTTATAGATTTGCAATACAAATAACACTTAAATAAATTTTTATATTTTTTGTAAGTTTCCTTGAAATTCCTTAAACTATATTAAGGTCAACCGTAAAATTCCCACTTAACGAAAACCCTAAGAAAAGAAAGTGGCCATAAGCTGAAATGCAAAAATATTAATGTAGGGGCAAGTACAAATTAATTTATGAAGCTACCATCTAGTGCACTTAGCTCGGATTTCGGATTTCGGCCAAAGAGCTCCAAAGCACTTTGTTTGCTCAGAAATTCCGTTTACATGTGCCAAAATTTTTGCAGACTTCAGCAGCATCTGCAGCAGTCAGATGGAGAGGAACAACAATGGACACGAAACTGACTTCGGTTAGCCATGTACTTGGCTTGTCGTCGTCGTCTGAATCTGAATCTGTCTTTAACACACATCAAAGGCATTATTAACACCGCATACACAAGCAGGGATTCTGAATGATGCCTTCAAGCAGGCTCAGAGGCCAAAAACCCAAAACATGTGTCGTTGTCCTTGTTGTTTTCCATTCCATGGCTGTGTATAAGTATAAGTGGCTCTATGTGCGAGCATATTTATGAGCCACTGTACTATGGCACAGCATATAGATGTATATAGCTCGCAGGCACTGTAATACATACGCATGTAAACTGCTTTTGGCGTGTATTAAGTGGTCTTAACTTCCACACAAGGACATGCTTTTTGTGGTCTTTTAAATTATTTTTTTTTTGCCTCCTTTGGATCGAGGGAACCGAAGGGAGGTTGGAGTAGTGGTGCAAGTACGTCTGTGCAGCCATTACAATTTATATTGGTCTGGGTGCCTATATAAACCAAAACGCATCTTATTTGAACATTCGGCTTTAATTTAGCGCCTACACACCCAGAAAAAAAAGAACGAAAAAAATCAAGAACATTTTTCATGCTTTGCGAACAATCCGTTCTCCTTTTTTTGTTCTCACATTTTGAACGTTTGTTCTCAAATCTTCCTAATTCAACACCAATATGTTCTAAAAGTGACCCCATTCGTTCAAAGCATTCCAGTATTTCGGTCAAATTTTATGAACAAGCGTTCATGAACTGACAACAAACGGGCTTACGCACTTTTTGACCCCGTTCGGGCTTGAAGTTTGAACGTTTCGAACGGATTTTTTTCTGGGTGCAGAAAGCTAAGTAAATTCTAGCCACTCATCAAGAAATAAAATAAAGAAGTTAAACAAAAATAATATTTAAATTTTATTTCATTAAGATTTCATGAATGTGAAATTTTTACTCTACCAGTATAATGACTAGTTATCTTTAAACATATTTTTATCTTTAAATAAAATATACCAATAAATTCTTTTCTATTTCTTATCTGTACTATTTAACTTTGAGCATATTTTTATTCCCCAATAAAATGTTTTCTCTTTATTTAGAGAAAGTTCTGACAAATAATGGTCGAAAATTCAACATGGTTTTTATTTTCATGTGCTTATCTTACCTTAAATTTGATTGAATTTCCTTCTCCTTGAGTTCCGTAACTTTATGCTCGCCCTCGTTCGAAACACGTAATCCTACCCATTTGGCTTGTCTGGTTCTGGGGCAACTTCAAATTTACAGCTGCCAATTTGGAAGTCAGAACCCGTCTGACCCTTTTTTCTTTTGGCTCATCAATGAACCAATAAAGTATGCTATGCTATCTGGAAAAAAGGGCTCGCAATTGATGTTTTATTTCCTCGTTATATGTGTGAGCCATACAAATGCAGTTCAGGGGGAATGTTTACCTCTGCATTTGCCAACCTTGTTTGTTCTGCAAAATCGGGTTAACGAAGAGGGATCTCTTCGGGCCAATTGAAATGCGTGCGGAATTTGGTTTGGTGAAGAGCAGGTTGCAGTTTTCGACAGCCACAATTAGCATCGCCCAGACTCTAGACTAGAATTCGTGAGGCAGTCAGAGAATTTCCAGTCGGAATGCCAGGCGGCCCCGGGATGACAAAGATGGAACTTGAGCAGCCTGATAAATTGAAATTCGAGCTGAAACGTTCGTTAGTTTTTCATGACACTTTTGCCTCGGATCCTGCGCTTTTCCTCAGCCGTCGACGGGCACACTTCAAAGTTCGGCGAGTAATGAAAGTTGCGTGCCTCCTTGTCTGATGTGGTGGCAGTGCGGCGAAGAACGAAAGGACGAAGGACGAGGACGTGACGGCGTCAAGTCGCAAGGCGGTTGCATTCAAATTAAATAGCATTTTGATGAATATTGATTGATTGCCTTTGCCTTGGGGCAAATTAGAAGCGCAAACCGCATCGACAAAGTTTTTATTTGTGCGCCGCAGGCGAATGGTTGGCTAAAAGTTCAGCCTTGAGTTTTGCAGCGGCCGGATTTGGTTTGGAATTATTTGCAATTTCAATTCAATTTAAAGCGGACAATTTAATTGAACACTCAGTTGGGTTTAATAAATTGCAACAAGACAAGGAGAAAGTGAAATTTTTAAGTAGGAGATTATTTATTAGACAATATTTCATTTAGATTATCATAGCGATTATTGTGAACATCAATGATATTTTAAGGAAATTTCCTGATTATATAATTATATTATATATATATAATTATTATATAATTATAATTAGTAAATATTAAGTTAACAAATAAAAAATCTTTTAAAATAGTTTTTAGTTTTTTTTCCTTTTTCCAGTTTAGATTATGAACTTAAAATTTTTTAGTTATTAAAGTATATCAATTTTTTTATTTTAAGTTTGTAATTTTAACGCTGAAAACTTAGCCGCATAACTTTCATTTCGCGGATGTAGCAGTGTGCCTTGTTAAATATGAAAGGACTTCCTGGCGGCGGAGCCAACGTTAAACCATTTTCGTAATGGAGGCTACAAAGTATTGCAGTCCTCGCAGACGACGGAGGACAGAGGACCCACAAGGCAGGGAAGGCAATGTCCTCCGGACGAAACACAATGCAAGCGGCAACCGGAAATGAGTAAACAAGCGTCAAATAGTGAAAACAGCGGACCAAGTACAATGCAATACCCAGTAGTCCTGGCTGCATCTCCATCCACTCCTCGAGTCCTTTTTCGTGCCTCGGCACGAGAAAACAAATAAATGAAACATTACACGAGACAAGGAGCAGCACCAAAGGGGAACAAGGAGTGCTAGAGAGGCAGAGAGGGGGATTCGGGAGGAGGCGCCGCATAAGGACGAAAAATGAGCACCGAAGACAACAACCGGATATCCTGGAACTTTATAAGGAGCTCCCCGAAAAAGGACAGCAACGGCGACAGCGGCAAGGACAACGAAGTTTATTTTAACTTTTGATTTCCGCCTTTTTCGGTGGAACCCTCGAGTGCATTGGCAAATGATTGCATTGAGTGGCAAAGTTGCGCTTTCAAGAGAATATCGAGTGAGTCGGCTCGGCATTAAAAATGAATTAAACTCATATTGTAAGTAACTCGTAAACGGAATAAAGTATAACGATTTATTTTCTACCTGACAGTGCTTTGATCTTCAAAATTAAGTATCCCTAGAAATCAAAAACTTTTGTCATTCAGTCATTTCAGTCAGGTTTCATTTTAGTTACCACAATTTTAATAAATCTAGATGGCTGTGGATAATTCAAAATAGATTTGTCATTTCCTAACTGAGGTTCCCTTCACTATAATTCAGTTGAAAATAGAACAGAGCACGAAGCACACATATATTTTCTAAACTATATTTTTTATAACAAATTTTAAAAAGCAAAAAAAAATTTCGTTTAAGTTAAAAGTGTTATTAGTGATTTTACACCGAATTTCGGGTTTTTTACATCGTAAACTGTTTATTTATTGGAAGCCTTTACTTTCCAAAGGGTATAAACAATATATAGGGTGTTCAATTGCGTTGCAAACGTTGTAAAGTGTAAAAGTGCAAGGCAGTTCCAACAACAATTTCTATACAAAATAGTTTTCAAAAGTAGGCCTTTAAAACTTATTTGTATAGAAATTGTTGTTGGAATTGATTTAAATTTTTACACTTTACAAAGTTTGCAACGCAATTGAACACCCTAATTGTTTTGTCGACCCAAAGATATACATTTACGGTTCTTCTCCCATAGTATTGTTCGTATTTGAGCAGCGAATAAATTGCCAAAAAGATGGTTCAATGCGGCGAAAATTGGCAAAAAGATGGTTCTATATGTTGAAGAAATAGAGAAATAAAGAATTAATAATACAGGGATTCAGTAATTAGCAAGAGGTGAATTATTTTTTGATTTTCATTTTATTATTCCTTATAAATAACCTATTTTCTAATAGCATATATGGTTTGAAGCTGTCCATCTTTCCTATCAGTGACATGAAGTTAATGTTTCAAACAAATATAAGGTGAGTACTTCTGTTCTTTGCCGAACAAATTTTAATAAACCACTTTTCATCCGCAGTGCTCGATCCACACTCCCTAGTTGACTGCTGGAGTTATACCAAAATCAAAATTTCTGGTTATTGTGTGTATTTTGGATTTTAGAATACGAAATTAATAAAGTGTACCTTTGGCCTAATTTAATGTCTTCTATTGTGGCTTTGATTCTTTGGGGATATATTTTACTTAGGTGGGGTGAAAAGAGGGTTCTGAAAAAAGTTATTGGATGTAGGGAGATTTGTAGTAAATGTTGTAGCCCCGTAATTAACTATAAATTCAAAGCCTACTTGACTACAGAGCTAATTATAAATTTTACCTCTGCCTCATTTGCTTTAGTTCGTGCGTTACATAAAAAGGGACTATTTTTATTTCATGCTTAAAATTTTAAAGTCCTAGCGTAAGCAAAGTATAGTTTTTATCAGATTAGCCTTGACTTTAATGCTTTCCATGCCTTTAGACCGCTGGCATCAATTCTCAGTAACATTCAAGTAGTCGCACAATACACAGCTAAGTAAAACATTTCCCTCTGAAACAACTTATTTCCAATCTAGCTCAAAAATGCCTATGCCCACCAGAATGGTCTCATACTTGTTTAATATGTAAGAATCGGTTGACAGGCACTAATCATTGGTTCTAAACATTTTTGGTTAAAGGAAATCTAGTAATTTGTCAGTGATTCTCGAAGATGATGAATTCGAGCAACTGGAGGAAAGTGATGGGCAAAAGAGTGGCTACAGCCTAACCACTAATTTAACGCGGTAAGTGGAAATGTACCCTCGTTAATATTTTTTATTAAAGCACCATCCAATAGGGCTCAAAGTTTAATATTGGACTACAAGCAGTTCAAGGCCGCTCGCACAATTCAGCGCTATTTTCGCGGTTGGATGGTTCGCAATCGTCAGCGAAAACTCAAGGAGTCGGCGATCGTAATTCAGAAATGGTGGCGCCGCTTCCACGCCCAGAGAAATTTGCTCTTTGTGGCCGAAAGGGCATTGCAGTCGGCCATTATGGAGCATTACCATAGGTCTGCCGTCCTGATTCAGACCCTCTATCGCGGCTGGTGGTCCCGAAACCACATCTTCGATCTGACCGTTCTCAAGAGCCTGCAGATCTCCTTGGCCAAGGACCTTATCCACACCTTGTCCAAGTACTTGCACTCTACCAAGAATTCTGAACTGCTGCCGGGGGTTTACTCCATTCGAGATTCGCGGTAAGTTCTTATACTTAATACCCATTTTCTATACTTTATCCCTATTTTCCTTTAGCATTTGCTTGAAAACACTGGAACAGCTGATGGCTACGTTTGGATATCGCTATTACAATGCCCAGGCTTCCTACAAAATGAGCAAATCATTGGAGAAGGTGGCTCAGGGACGAATAGCCTTTAGGGCCGCTAAATATCTAACTGATATACCATATGCTGGCTTTAATGATCGCGGCTTTTGTGAAATTAAACACTATTCTGCCACACACCTAAGTACAAAAGAAACTGAACATTTTGAGTTGATTCGCACATTTCTAGAAGGTTCTCGAAAAATGAATATGCAAATCACGGCTCAGATTGAACAAAAAGCCATCATGTTGGCTGAAGAAAATCGTAAGATTATTTTATAATTTCTTAATTTAACATTTTCAAACTCTTTTAAAATGTATAGGTTTGAAAAAATTGAGAGAGAAGGACAACCAGAAAAAGAGCTTTGTCAAGCGCATTTTCCTTGAAATGAAAAACTGGCACCATCCAAATGGGGAGCCAATTATTTGTAGCCGCATTTTCAAAAATACTGAAATGATTGCCGTTTTGGATAATGCTAAGAAGACCCTGGAATCGGTTTTTGGCCAACTGGAGCCATGTGTTTGTCCCACAGCCGAGGACATATCCTACCTCACGAACTCTTAACGTGTTATTCTCAACTTTGTATATTTTCTATGTCTAAAAGATTTAATTGTATCGCTGGGCAAGACTAAGATAACCCCATAATAAACGAACAATTAAATTAAGCTAATTATAATATTTAGTAAATGTAGTAAATGTATTTTGGTTGGTACTTTTTTATCTTTATATATTGTTTTACCTACAAGCTTACCAAGCCTTTCTTCATATGATTATCTCCGTTCTATTTTTATTTATTCCGCACACACAAGCATAAGCAAGTTCAATATTGGCAGCAAATTAAATTTAATGATGTTTGCTGCTTGCAGCCAAAAGCCAAGTAGAAAAAGTAGAGACATAGCAAAAAGAGCCGAGCAGAAATTGCCAACTCTGGTAAATATTTGCCAACTGACGCTAATGAACTTGAGCATACAAATGGGGATCGAGGACCGAGGGCCAAGACTTTTGGGCTTTGCCAGAGTTGTGCGGAATAATTTTCCCAAAAGATTTGCTAGACAAGTCGATTGTGTCGCGTCGCTGGCTTTCATTAAAGAGTTTTCGCCACCTCCACCTCTCCTTTCTCCAGCGCAATAAGATGAAAGGCAGCTGCAGGAGAAAAATTCGTTGGAAATAAAAGAAAATTGGCTGTGGAGCAGCGAACGTGTTTGCACAAAAAATTTCTCTGCTATTGATTATATGTATTTACACATTACTCTCTCTTCGCTTTTTTTCTCGAATGGCAAACGCGTGGGCAGGCCATTGTGAGACCACAAAAGTCAACAGTTCTCGGATACATTCCATTTTCTTGATTCCAGGAAGGTCTGTTGGGAATCCGAGTGTAGGAAGGCACTCGAGCTCCACTTGTTTCAAATAAATGAATCAAGTAGGCAGAGACTTTCGGCTGTCAATCGAATTTCCAACTGACTGTGAGCAGGGCCAATATTATTCAGTTTATTCCTGGAGCCCGAACTGAGCTCCAAATTCTCAGTGTTTTTCGATTGTTTTAAAAAATTAACATTTTTCGGCTAGTTTTAAGAATAAAGTGGATCGTATTTTAAGCTAGAATTAAGTGAATAACAGTGTGTATGATACGATTGGAAATAGGAAATTGCGATTGGCTCTCTTTTGGACTAAGGCCCTCTCTCTGGATCGCTTTTTGGTAAGAATACCAACCAGTCGCAAGTCCTTAAATAAAATATTAATCTGGGTGATTCTTGCTCTACAGCCTGGAACTGTTTTCTACCTTCACCGCTAAAAACATACTTAAAATACTCTATACAGGACTATAGCTAGGTAAGATCATAGTCCTTATTTTAAAATCACTTAATTGAAACGATTATTCCAGAAATCTGAAATAAGACTCCCTTTAATCCTCTTCGAACCATCTTGATCAACCTGAGCAAATGATCTGGCTCAATGGCTCTCAAATAACTTGAATTACTAAGGACTCGACGGGATTCTTTAAAAACCTCCTGAAAACCCATCTGGATCAACCTGCTTGAGAATATATTTTATGGAAGAACACAATGTATCTGGCACATTCTGGGTTAAAAAAACCAATTCTGAACTCCTTGGATATCTTCATCTCCACATCCGAATCAACCTGCTTAGATTATAATTTGCGGAACATTATCGCTCTGATTGTACGGGGAAATATAATTTTCATATGACTCATCGGGAAAACATCTGAATCAACCTGCATGAGAAGTTACTTGACCACAAAAAAACACATATTATTTATAATAATAAATTTAAACTCACAATTTTACACTGAAAATAAATGTTTTCAGTTTTAAGCCGGTGGTGGCAAGCCCTAATATTAACTGTAAATCTGACTAAAATGTCTTTAAGGCGGACAAATAATGGTACATGTTAATTAGGCCGAAAGTGGGTCAGAAAAACAGCAGGGCAAACAAGAGCTAAAAATAATGCTAGTCATGGGCAGCGAAAAAAAAATGGAATACGGGGGAAAGGGAATTAACCCAAATATGCAAATAAATTTGCCAACAAAAATGGAAACAAGTCTGAGCCAAGTTGCACATTAACTTCCGCAGCTCATTAAGTCACTGTCAGCCCCTCGAGGCGGGAAGCTGGCGGGAAATATATATATAAATTTATGTGACGCCAACTGGACGACAGGACGACGACCACTGTACAATCGACCAAGAACTTCGCTCCGAGCTGGAAAACAACAAAAAATATGGGAGGTGGGAGGTGTTACAGTCTGCCCTGCGTATTTAGATAAATCAGCAGGGGTCGCAAAAAATTGCTGAAAAGGTTGGAATGAAAATGTCGGCGCTTAAAATGAAAAACCCAGAAAACAAAAATCTGAATCGACCCCGCCCTCTTGGCCTCGAGTTTAATTGGGTCGATTCCCTTATTTTACTTGTTTTTTATTTTTTGGTCTACATAAGAAACGCCTGGATTCTTGTTTTTCTTTTTTTCCCCATGCGAAGGTCATGGACATTCTTAGGGGAGCGGATGGTCAAATGGCAGGCCAAACTAATTAGTGGCCGTTTTGTGGGTGCTCCCAGTTTAATTAAATTTTAATATGAACTTAATTGAAATACAGTTTGAAAAGGGGAAAAAATGTAAGGGCAAAATGAATAAATTAAACTTAACATATGATTAAAAAATAAATGTACTAAACATTATTCTGTAATATTTTTAAAATATATTTATTGAATAAATACTTTTCTATAAAAAGCTCTACTCACTTATTTAATATTTTGGATAGCCGGCATTTTGCTGGTTTTCCGTTGTTTACTCTCTTTGTCTCTAACGTTCTCGCTTAAATTTGTTGATTGTACGAAATTAAATTAATTTTCTGGTCTCGTTGTTGATATTGCCAGTGGCATAATTTCCGCATGCGGCTATATAATTAAACACACGCGCTGCGAGAAACGACCGACGAATAAACTGAACGAGCATGGGATAAAGATGAACCGGGATTAGAAGAGGAGTATATATTACTTGAGTCCAAACACCACTCATATATCACTCATACGTTCTGTAGAACAAAAAGCATTCTTATTCGCTGTTTTTTTTGTTTTTTGCCTGCTCCTGCAGCCTTGTTCACGACTTTTTGCGCAGTGTAGCTGGCCGGCGTTTGTCTGAGATCCAATTCGTTGCGCGTTATCAATGAAACTGCTGATTTTTCTCGTCATCGTCGCCAGCATCGCCCCAGAAAGGACATTCCTTCGTGGCCACTCGGGTTTTGACGCTCTCTCCCTCTGTATTTCTCTCTGGCAGGAACTTTTCTCTCAACTTAACGAAGGTGCCGAAGGTCCTCAGAGAGACAGAAAGCAGAAGGATATTTAACGGTTCGAATTTGTTTGAATTTGGCATTTTCCAAAGCAGTAGAATGTGTAAGGAAAGATATTCAAATTATAAAGTACAAATATTAAATTCATTTAGTTTTGCCTACATTTTATATTATGGATTGCAGCTATGATTACAATGAAAGATATTAAGTTAACATGACTTTCGGTATTTTGGGACTTGCAACCAATACTGTTAATATATGGGGAAATATTTTATACACATATTTTAAATCTAACGGCTTTTTGAAAGTCTGCTCTGCAGAACATAATAAAACGTAAGGAAATATAAAAAAATATTAAAAACTTAATTTAAAAAAATATATTTTTAAAGTAAAGAATACATTTATAGGTAAACATAAGCGTTAAATAAAATATATATTTAAATTTGTACTCAGGTGGCCTTCAAAAGGTTGTTTACTTACAGAAGAAAAAAAAATACGAATTAAGGATTTTTGATTGATAATATTTATTTCCACACATTTTCCCCAGTAGATTAATTTTGCATGCAAACTTAATCGTTGGGTGAGGTTCAATTAATTACCATTAATTAGGAATAATGCATTTAACTCTTAATAACCAGTCAAGGAATTAGTATAAGCCCCCTATCAGTGCTACCTCCTTACATGAGAATTATCGCATTACACCAACCTTTTCGCAGGGTTTTAAGATGCTTCAATATGTTTCGCTTTATGCTACACAACCCCATCCACAGCCATATACTTAAAGCACAGAAAATCTTTTATGACACGTTATTAGTTGGCCCTGAGCAAGGGGAAAGCCGCGAATTGTGCGCCGCTGAGGGAGATATATACATACATATTTATGTATAAATATACATATATGTAGAAGGAGTAGCGACTCAGACGACGAGCTTTAATATGCTTAATGTAATTATGAGAATCGCATAGAAGAGCACCGCATCCCTGCATACAAATGAAAGCGTAATTTGCAACAACGAAGGTGGGTGTCAGGTTGTAAAAAATGCTGAGGGACTTCCGTACCGGGGACTGTCATAAAAACATGTACAGTATATGTATGCAATACAGAGATTTTTTATTGTTGCGCGATAAAATAAGGAAAGCATTATAAAGTCGGTCAATTAATTACAAAGATGGTTTTTTAAATAATAATGGTCAGCCACTACTTTAACATATTTTAAGATTTTCTGCCGTCAAAATAGAATGCCTTCAAGTGCTTATTTAACACTCAGTGCGCTGAGACGCCTTTGGTTAATTGTTATGACAATTCCTAACATCCATTTGTCAAGTGTTTGTGCATTTTATTTTATTCGCTATTTACCATTCTCCCAAGGTTCACCTCTCGAAATAGCACCTGAGCCATCTTAAAAGCGGTGGAAAAAAAATAAACCGACCCTAGATCAGTAGAATCTACTTATATTTATATTATGCAAACATATTTGTTCGTTCGCTACGAATTTCTCAGCGAAACTGACTTTGCGGCTAATGCAGATGGCAGGCGAAGCGAAGCGTAAAATGCTTTGTAAATTATTATGCCAAGTCTGGGAAAATGGGGAGGGTGTGTAGACCCCCCAACATATATAAACATTTTTCCGGAGATAAACAAAGTATTTACGCAGTGGGACGGCATGTGTCGTGTCATAAATTTCAATTGACTTATGAATATGGAGGGGAATCTGTTTTTTCCCATGGAAAGTTTTTAGCGCCAACACGTGCCTAAAAGCCGATGAATATTGTTTAAATTTATTTGCCATATTGCTAATTCTCGGCGGTCCTAAATGTCTTAGAAAAAGACAGAAATTTATTTAAAAATATACAAAAATTGTAAAATA